ATTTGAATTTATTTCTGTAACAGGCAAAAACCGATTTTTTCGCTGTTTTTGCATATGTTTTTCTGTATGGAGCGTCTGAAGTACGATATAGAGCAAAGTGTTTAGTGCAAAAAAATTGTAACTTTGTCTTCGAACGCCAAAGTGTAAAATGTACGTGAAAAAAATTATTGCAGAAAAACTAGTTTTTTTTTTGTCTCAGCGATGTACTAAAAATGCTGTCAAAATTTTTCCTTTGGATGAAACTTTTCCAAATGTAAATCATCAGTTTAGACATCCAACTTGAAATTACGAACAAAATTACAGTCCGTTTAATTCATAATTACTTGAGTTAGTCGAAAAACTTAATGGCGTACACACATACTTTTCCACATACACTATATGTGACCAACTGAGATCACCCTCATGCTAAGTTAAACATTTATTATACACAAAAAATAGACGATTTATAAGTGGTTACACTTTTTGCTCCGACAAAATTATAAGGCACTCCCATAAAATTATCGTGCCTAATAAAAATTTCGAACGAACTCCAGGAAACGAGCACGTAAAAATCTGAGTCCCACAGTATTAGAAAATTTTGAAGCTTGTTAGTAAGGCTTGACAGGATATTAGAAAAATGTAGCCAACGAAATTGTTGGATGATATTTTTCACATCTATTGGTTTTTTCCTGTATTATACTACCCAAAGGCTCCGAGATCCGTTCAGTCAAGCCATCAAAACTCTAGTAGGCTAAATACAACAAAAGAACAGAAACCTCCAATGCGGCCACTCAGTTCACACTTTTACATTGTTCCTAAATTTTGGTGATTATTTGATTACCAATCATGACACAACCAGAAGTAGTAAAAGCCTCTTAGACGTATCCCAAAAATTAAAAATCATTTATTTTTGATTTAACCATCGATGATACATCAATATGGTCCTATTCGATGAACACTATTATTGTATGCACCGATGATTAAAAATCTGCTCATATCACTTGTCCTGGTTTAATACCCGTGAAGAAGGAGAAGAAGCGATCGAGATGTTTTTACGCTCGTCAGTGAAAAGCCAATGTATGCCTACACCAAAGCTTGTAATCAACAGATGCTCGCACACATACCCAACGTATAAATGCAGTTAGAGTCAATTACAAAGCCAGGTCTCGACGTTTATTCAGCCCTCCATTATTGATATTACTCTTGGTACTATGTACACACGTGTATACGCGAGCACGTGCATGCAAAAGCTAAACTCGCTCAATTACACCAACTTTCGGGTACGTACCGTATACACACGTGCACATTAGAGAAGTGTAATTTCGTTTTCACCGCCTGTCTCCGGAGGGTCACGTGTGTACGTACTTACGTTGTAAATTGAAAATGATGCGCGCGCGTGTGCACGTTTTGCGATGGAAATTATTATCATTATTATCCATCCTTATAATCAATTACACGTGCGCGTGTGGGACGTTAGTATCTGCGTTGTGAGACATAGATGGACTGGATGATGCATGAAATATTAAATACATCTACGGTTTGTACAATTGCGAGGTGTTGGGTTAATTGATAATTAATTTAATTTCGTATTAGTGATTTTGCAGGTTTCAAGTAAAAATATGTAAGACAATGTAAGGGGTGTTTGGGACTGTCATATATCGTTTTTTCATCTCGATCGATTGAACACAGACTGAAGTGGGCAACTTTTTTTGGAATTCTTAATTTCACATTGTCGTATAGGTTCTTGATTTTATACCGTATAAATGTGTATGTACCATATTTAGATGACCGTTGTAAGCCAAGTTTTGTTAATCTCATGCGGATACTTCTCTTAAAATCCACAGAAATTTTTTCATGCTTAAAGAGTGAAATTATTTAAGGAGCAGTACTAATTTTTAATTTAAGCTTATGGTTAATATCTTTCGGTGGTAGATTATTTATAGCAGCCTTACATGTATGTTTACATTATAATTAACTATGTAATGATGGCTCTTCTTGTAGAAGCGCTGTTTACAGTCAAACATTCTCATGTAGAAGAAGTTCAGAGAGTAGATGGGGAGCAGGGAAATCCGGTATACTAAATAAATAAATTAAAGAGCCGCAATTACAATTGTAATAAAAAGGTTCGTCAATAAGGCGGAGCAGGGAATCGAACCTGATCAATTAATTATTCGCGAAACTTTACGCTGACCGCTCAGCCACGACCACCACCGAGAGCGGACGAATTCATTGCACTTTTAGATGCACTATTGTGTCATCAGTTGTACGCCAGTGTGCCAATATACGGGCACTGGCTTGACCAAGCCAAGCCACGTCCGTAACACTATGTACAGTATACCAGAAAAATTAAGGCAAATTTGAAAAAAAAATCTATATTCTGCTGATGATCACAAACTTTTACTGTAGTATTATCAAGCAATGAAGATGTTCAACAACTAATATAAAATTTTATTTCGAATTTTGGAAAGAAATTGTTAAATATATTTCCACTTAAACTTCAACACAAATTTTGTTCATAAAAAATTATATAATTCTTTAAAAGTCCATTCAAAAGAAAAAAAATGTAAAAAAATGTTTCTTATAACTCAAAAACCACTATTCATTAATTTTGTCATTGATCTTCTCAAAAAATGAGATACTTATGTTAATAATACGAACAGAAATCCTTCCAAAAATTACATTAAATAAAATATAAATTAACAAATTGTTGCTTAGACGCACATGTGTATGTATCATCGATAATATTTTCGAACGTAATTTTACGTATACAGAGAAATGAGCAAAATATTCATGTATATTTTTTTGAACCCTGTACTAAAATTATTTAGAAAAAAAAAAAAAAATGATAATTTATTGTAATCTATTATAAAAATGATAAGATACATTTATTTTTAAACCCTATACGACATTTATTTAGTAAAAAGAAAAATAAAAAAATAAAACAATGACTAATTTTAATCTATTATGAAGATGATATTACGATAAAAACCTGATACAGAGATAGGTATCGAGAATGTAATGAAGAGAAAAAAAAATTATTTAATTCAACAAAGTTTAAAGACAGTAATCCTATATTACTGATTACACAGTCGTCATTTTATTAATTCTACCATTACATTGGACGCAATATAAAATGAGAACTTATGACTTTAGCATGTCAGCATGTATGACTATAAAGATTTAATTGATCGTGAATTATACACGCACACTAATAACATGCACAGTACATGTACAAATGTAAATTCATGGTCTCAGAACAGAGCTTCAGGCATCTCTTCCACGTAAATCGTCAACTGGTTAGATTGCGCAAATCGTAAATTAGCCGCGAGTCCAAAAAAACTATCACTTGAAACGAAAAATTTTTATACACGACACATGGCTTCTTCTGATAGTTTCGACAGAAATGTTCCGTAGTATTTTAGTAAAGCTCACTAGAAATTCATGATTTAAAAAATCTAGTCAGTAGTTGAATAGAATATCTATTACATTACTTCTTTAAATAAAAGCTTACTAGCTTAAAAAAGTGTAGTTCTTTGATATTAGTGTGGTTTTATGGTTACAATCAATGAGCAAGCAACCTATGTATTTATTTATAGATAGGAGCAATAAGGAGACATCAGATTGAGAAACCAAGATAGAATACTTGTAACACAATTGGACGACTAAAATAAGTATTGAAACGAAAGTACAGATTGAGTTGTTTTCGCCTTTACTAACTGATTTAAATCGTGAATTAAGGTATTACCTTACTTTTCTTGAGTAGAATCGAATTTCTTTGCGTGAAGTGTCGCGAAATACCCACTTACCTTTGATTTTTTTAACTGACACGCCAAGGGGATTTTTTGTGAACTTTATCTTGTAGATTACGAAGCCAATAGCTGAAGGTGACATAGTTGGCAGCAAACGGGAAAGAATCTTACCATATCTTAACGTTGAACTCGAATCACCGATTCGTTCACCATGTAGATTACATTATTGTCAGCGAGTAAAATTGACTTGTTATTTGACTAATTAATAAATGTTTAACATTCATTCCATCACTTCGATTGTAATACAATATAGAAACATTATCTTGCAATAAATCGTATAAACGCATTTTGTATACTTTGGTTCTTTATCAATGAAAAAGTCAGATAGGTTCTCAGCCCTTCACACAATTTTTTATTATAATGACCTCTAAATAAAAAGGACAACTATGAATGAAACTTTTTATCGATGTAATGGATTAAAGATGAGGACAAGACAATTTAAATCAAACTTGTAGATAAGAAAAACATAATGATTCTGAGTTTTAAGCACAAATCTTATTTGAAGTTTTCATAAAATAGTGCGAAATTATGGGATACAATCGTTTTGTTGACTTATCTGAAGTTGAAAAGGAAACTGATTGAAAATGAAATTGACAGTAGCTGGAATAACGTATAAATCATGTATAATTCGTATCTTTTTGATAACACTAGACATGAAAACAAAAAATCAAATGTATTTAAATATACTAGTTCATTATTGGCGAAACAAATGAACTTATGATAATGACTTTACGACTCATAAATACACCGGAAAAAGTTTTGAATTAAACTATTGGAGTCGTGGGGGCAGGAGACTCAGCCTCCTATTTTTTGAGCATAAAATTGAACTAAAACAATCCAGCCCGTGAATACCTAGTATATCAACTATTATAGTATAACAAATAAAAGCACCTTAATACAACCAAGACGAAATAATATATCAACGAACACTAATATTTACTACAAGTTTTGAAATTCAAAAAAGGATTACACAATGACCAATCATGCTTGAAGAAAAACAAAAACAATTATTAATTAAATTCAAGTCATACAATTTATGGGAATAGCGGCAATAATAATATAAAAAATAATAATAATAGTCATAATGTTAATAGTTATGTCAATTTTATACATACATACATATATATAAATAAGTATGATTCTCAACCTTACAATAATCATGAAGAAAAAGATATTTATGTGGACAATAAAAAAATCTTTATTTTGTTCCAGTCATTCTCTCGATCCTCAACTTCAAACATGGCTTCAGATTGTGCAGCGCGGGGGAACCAGGTGTAAGTATACACATAACATAAACATTATGCCTCACATTCCTCCTCACTAATTCCTTTCTAATATCCCTCCCCCATACTCTTCCACTTACTGATCTTATTTGCCTATAATATTCAAAGATCTTAATCGGAGCACACCCGGATAAGCATGCATATTATCTCTCTCTCTCGCTCCTTTCGCGACGCGTGTCAATGTATGTGATTGAACTTGTTTAAAGCAAGTGAAAATAAGGAATTTATCGTAAACACGTCTTAACTCTAATGAGACATGCGAAATAGTGAAAAGAGAGAGAGAGAGAGAGATGGATTGTAAAAGAAAAATACACATGACTACTGGTGCCACACCGAGTTTCTCTCTTCCTAACCCAAGTGAAAATTGTTAATTGCACAGTATTTGGACTTCGACAATCTGCCGGAGACCAACTTCTCGTGTCGAGGCAAGGTGATTGGCGGCTACTACGCGGACGTCGAGGCCGGCTGCCAGATGTTTCACGTCTGCACGACCGGACAGAAAGGTAATGCCGCATTTCTATACGTAAACGTATATTATAATGCCACTCGTGAACGCCCGCGAACCTAGAGATATGCAGTATCGGTACCCGTGAGTATAGTACTTATAGCCCATGCTCTATTATGCATATGTATTCACACACTCGAATGCACACGCCCGGGCGTCGTCTATTGTCTGCGCGCCAGTGCGCGCTATCAGTTGGGGATCTCTCCTTTGCATTGATTTACTTTGACTGCGTTCCTGTTTCGAGAATTTTTCCCGCTCAAACAGTCGTGGAAGGACGAGGATTTTTATTTTGATTGATTTCGCTCGCTCGCATGACTGGTAGAAAGTTGGCTCTTTTACGTTCGTTTCGTTAATCACACGGGGAGTTGAACTTAAATGTATTCGATATATCGTAGGTGAACGTGCGAATAGTTGAAGATAATCGGCCACGGGTGATTGATATTTTTCATTTTAAAATGAGTAAGTGTCTCGTTGACGTGCACTATATACATATATAGAATTCAGCAGGTGCTGTTCGATTTCTTACACGTTGGTCGAGCTTAGAGGGGAGAGATGGTAGTTTTTTCCAACGGAGCTTTAAATATCAAAGACTGCATCTGCTAAGTACGTACGTACATTTCATTTTCATCACCTGAACATCCAAGCTCATTTTGTTGTACGGTATTGATTTCATTTCTTTCTTACATATATTTATGCATCAATTAATTTGATACAAACTTATATTACTCCAAGTGTAGAGATGCCTGTGGAGAAACTTAGTATCATGTTATTTTTTAGGGACTGCTAAAAATACTGTACTTTTAGTTTACATAAAAAAAAAAAAAAAAATCATGGACATTGATATTCAAATATATCTTATCTATAGCAGTTAAAGAGTTCTTTGAGAGTAGATACATTCAAAGTATGGTTTTAAGAAATTATGAAAATAACTACAATATTTAAAAGTTAAATATAGATGAAAATTGTTTATTTTATAAAGTTGGTCGTCCAACTTTTCTTTGAAAAAGCTAATTTAAGAAAACATAAGATCAAACTTCAGAGATTTCCATGGAAGGGGTGAAGCCCCATTAGAGAAAAAAATTTTATAATATGTAAAATTCATCTATACCCACAAACCACGGCACAGTGGAATGAAAAAATTCTTCTCTTAACCTTTAAGGTTAAGAAAGCTTTCGAAATTTTGCAATCCCTATCTCCACCTAGTGTGTATAGGTACTGGTAGCAGACAATTTTTTTTTCAAATTATCACAAAGTCAAAATCTCCGACAAGATCGCGATGCAGTGTTTGATGCTAACGAATGGGAGATCGTGGCTTAGGTCAGCCTTAACATCGGCCCAGTAGTGCACTATGGCCATGTCATTATCCTGCTTGCCTACAAATTTATCGTGCCAAGTATCAATTGAAATCCAAGCTTTTCGTCATACATAAGTACATAAAACTATGATCGTGTGTAAGGATATTGGAGAAAAAAATTATTTTCTAACTAGAACGTAAACTAATCAATGATTTGAAAAAAATGTAGCGATTACACGCCATCGAATGCTACTAACGAATAAGTTATCAACGAACCTTTCTTATAATATTAAATACTTTTCTCACTACTCTGACAATTCTTGACTCTTGGTAACAACGCGTTAGAGTTATTTCATGCAGCATAAGAAATTTACTTTTAAAATCACAGTAAGTGACGGATTCTAACGTATGAGTAAATACATTTTGAGTATATAGCAAGTAATTTTTAGATACAAGTATTAATAATGGATAAATATGTTTGTTTAAAAGGAAAAAAAAAGGTTTCTCACTTTAAAAAAATAACAAACTCATTACTGTACAGTTGTGTTTAGAGTGATAAAATAAATTCACAAATTAAAAGTAAATTAAATTTNATGAATAATTAATTAATGAGCAAACAATGAAGGTTCAGGTGTAGAGGGACCCCAAGGAAAAATGTTAAGCACCGAGCATAGAGAATAGGGAGTCACAGTGTTTGGTATAACTATACCTATGTATGAAAACAATACACATTAAGTACACAGGTTGTATTGATGTATACAAAACACAGGTATTATTATTCTTGCACCTTTAACATTGTACTTTTTTTTTTTTTTTTTTTTTCAACATTAGATAACATTGTTTGAATCTACTTATTAAAAAAAAAAGGTTTTTTATGTATAACACAAATCGAAAAATGCACAAGCTCCCCAAAAATAATGATCCATTCTTCATCCCGAGATGTGGTTTCAGATGAGATAATGGATATAAAGTTTCTCTGCCTCAACGGGACCGTTTTTGACCAAGAAACCAGAGTCTGCGAGAGAGTCGATGAAGTCGATTGTAGCAAGAGCGAGCAATTCTACTTCCTCAACCTCGAGCTTTATGGAAGCCATGCCGTAACTCTCAGGTAATTGTTTTGTTTTATTTTTGACCAGACAGCGATTATTATCGTATCTTCATTAGTGTTGGAATATTAAAAATATTTTCAAATAGAATCATCATAGATTTTTATTATTTTCATGAAAAGTTTTTGTGTACCACGCGTGAAACTAAGTTTTTATTTTAATACGGTATTTTTTTAAATCTTAAATAAGTAGGTGGCAATTAATTTGATTGTTTCTAGTGTTTTATGTTGTAAAATACGTATATTATGTAAGATTTATAAAATGGATAATCGCAATTGCCAGTCATGACGTGATGAATGATAATAATGAACGGGAAGCCTGTTTTCAAATAAACGGTCATAGTATCAAGTAACGAAACGACGTGGAAAAAATTTAGCGATGTTTATCGAACGAAATGTCCATTTCAAATCTCCCACAGGCCAGTGCACTTTTGACAACGTGCAGATCTAGACCGTGATAACCTCACAGCTGCACTGGGACACGTTCCGTATAATTATTGCCAATCAATCGGTGACTCGATCGATTACGGTGTTTGCGCTACAGTCAATGAGCGCAAGCTGCTAGATGATTATAAGTGCGAGTAGGATGCTAGATTTCGAAAGGGACCTCGTGCTTATACGCTGTGTGCACCGTCTTAGATGGTGTTACAGAAGCTGTGTAACGCTTCGTTTTATGATTCACTTGCGTTAAGATAATTTTTGCTTGAAACACAGTCAAGCTAGATACACATCTTTCTTTCCATTGGGTTCCTTTATTGAATCCTTTTCGTTATTGAAGTTTCATGGTCAATAATGTCTGATTTTTATGTGTAATAATGTTTGTCACCATTTTCATTTAAAGCAATACATTGAGTAAAATTTTATTGATCCGTACTAGAGTAAATTTCATAAGCTTCACGTTTTAATTGAAGTTGTATAACGCTTATATCTTAAAATAAATTTTATAAGGTTTACTACTCATGAATCCATATATTTTATCAGTGGTAACGAAGAAGAAGAAGAAGAAAGAGATGAAAATGAAGATGACGGATCGACAGAGCCGAGAAGCGATCATCAACAGCAACAGCATATGACGTCGGTAATACCTAGCACCTCGAGTTCAACAACCACGACTACTCCACAACCTAATCAACCATCAACGACCTCGGCAAACAATATTTATCAGTCAAATTCAGCAGGTTATTCTCAACATTACCAGCCAAGACCCGCATTTCCTGCTGTACAAACCAGTCAATCTAACACCCACTATGATGATAAAAATGGTGGATATCATCATCAGTACATTTTCCACAGTGACGAAAGAAGCAACAATAACAATAATCAAGCAACATCGTATCAGCTTTTCAGCAATCAAGGAGTCAGTTCAACAACGCCAACTCCTCAAGTTCACCAGCAGGTATATATTTAATCTCTCAACTCACTTCTGTGCTTATGAGTAAAGAAAGTTATTTTTTTATTCACTTGGAAGTTTAATATTATGAAATTTTTTATGTTGGTATTACGATGATATATTATGTATTAAAGTATTAATGTAATATTTTATGTACTTTAGGTTCGATATACTTCGAATGCAAATACACAGGTGATTCATAGCGAGCCATCCACGGTGACACCTCTTCAATATCACGTACAGTCAACGTCTTCAACTATTCAAACACTTTTGAACAGCAATGCCAATAACCCCTCTTTGATAAACCCCTTATTCCATAACCATGGAATTTCAAGCACAACTGAACAATTCAATGTCCATAATAATAGTCCACGTGAAATTTCTGAATATCAAGATAATTCTGAGGATGAACGTGAAGAGCAAGTTGAAAGAAAGGCTCTAGAGCCCGCCCAATCAACAAATCAAGGAAAGGTAAAATAAAAAAAAGATTACAAAGAATACTTTCTTACTATACAATGCTTTGAACTTATAAAAACAATTATTTTCTTGTAGAACTCAAAGTTAAAAATTTCTCCAGTTCCACAACAAGAAAAAAATCCATCAATAATTCAAACAAAGAGTAGTGGCCAAACATCACAGCAGCAAAGAATATCTATTAATTACTTACCAACCCCAAACTCGATTCAATTAACAATCAATGCCTTTTATCCCACTCAACGACCTACATCACAAAATCCGCAAAAATCTTCAAACAATCAACAAATAACTCAACATATACATGTTCCACCACCCCCTGCTATTCCACAACTGAAACCTCAACAGATAACAATTAACTTACCCCCTCCAGATATTCAACGAATCGTTCAAAATCCATCGCCACTTCTGCCGTCCCAATCTCGTGTGATAGTTACTGCAAAAGCTAGTGTAAGTGATGAGTCTGGACGACCTTTAAATGTTAGCCAACTAATAACTCTTCCTATCCCAACAATACCATCTAACTACGATGAGTACAAAGAAGGTGATGAATCTTTTGACCCTTTTTATCGTGATGTGCCAAAAATACGAAACGATCAACGAATAGTGATAAGTAGAAAAGTTGGAACTGAAGGAAGAAATTTAAGAAAGAAACGTTCTGCTGATGTTGAAATTGGGAAAGAAAATCCGTCATCTGAAGAAATAATATTCAATGCAGAAATAAAAGATATCAAAGATCTAAAAGCCAATTTACCAATAATAAAAGCTATCCTTTTTGGATTACCTATACCTGAAAACAGTAATTCTACATTCACGTCTGAGAATAAAAATAATTCAATTAAGAATATCGATGAACTTACAGTAGAAAAAGAAACTGTAGCAAACACAGAAATTTCAGTCCCTGTTAAAAATGAAGATAGTAGATTTCCAATAATAAACGCACATAGCAGGCCAATAATTGCTCGGCAGAATTTAAACCGTGTATTACGACGTAATACTACACATCAAGCAGCTTCAAAGCTGAAAGTTAATGAAGACATCCCCACTGATGCAGAGCCAAAGGACACAGTACAGTTATTTTTAAGTGCTGTTGATGGCAATAATTCTTTAATAAACAATAGTGATTTTACACATCAAAGAAATCAACTTAGTCACTCAAACGAAGCAATTAATCCAAATAATGTGTTAGACAACAGAGGACGAGAATTTATACATACTCGTTCATCTTTGAACTCAAATACATCAAATCGTAAAAGATATCGGAATGATGATTCATTGGAAGTATTTCAAAGATATTTCCCTCGTAGAAATATTCGCATTCAAGCTAAACCATATAAATATTATGAAGATTATGATGCCAGTGAAAGTGTTGAGTTAGGTACGCGCCAAAGATCTAACAGATTAAGACAAAGACCGAAAGAAAGACGCATTTACAGAGATGATTACATAGATTCTGAAGATGTCATTGAAGATGTTGTTGAAGATGGAGATTATGATGATGAAATTATTAACTTTAATCGCAAAGGAACTATACGAAGAGGTCCACAGGGTCGTAGAGTTTTAAGTAGGAGTCGGAATCGTTATTATGATTATGAAGATGATATTGAAGCTTTCGGGAAATCCAGATATAGAACTAATAATCCAGTATCTGGTAGGAACAGAATAAAAATCCCTTCTGAATTACCTCAAAGTAGAAGGCGTCGACCAGAATTGGAAAGAAGAAGAAATGGAAGAAGGCGGCCTCTCAGTCGTTCGTATGAAAATTCAGTAATAAATAAAACGGAAGTAACTGATATTGAAACGTTGAATGAACCTGTTTTACAATCATCGCAAAATGCTGATTTTCGTACTTTAGATGAAAATAAAAACATACAATCATCTACTGATGATAAAAATAATAAACAATCAAAAATATCCGAAAAAAAGCAGTTTAATAGGTTAAACAAAGAAGAGCTACTTGATAAACAAAAAGCTAATAACGAACAAGACTTACTTAATCACAGACAGCCAAATACTAATGCATTTAACGAGCCTACTGACAGAGATATTTCTGATGATTATGTTGATTACGCAGACTTGAGGCATCATATAACTAGAAATGGTTATGCAAATAGAAGAAACAGAAATAGATTTGATACTAGACTTGAATTGATACCACGCAGGGATTCTAATCGCCGCGATAAAAGCAGAAAATTTGTTGAACAAGACCAAGATGAAATAGAAATTACTAGTAAAATTGAAGACTTAAAATCTTATTCTGAAAATGATAAGCCTACAGCAATACCGGATGATGAGAACTTGAGAACCACAAATATCCCAACAGAATACACGATTCCTGATGATGTGTCTACAGAAGATTACGACGAGTATGGCATAGAAAATACAACATTAAAAGTTGATAACATTGAAAGTACAGACTCTCAAGAAGATATAAAAACAACTACAGAATATGTTAACACAGAAGGTATTTTAAAATTCACAGATGAATTACCATTGATAGATAAAAAAAATGATCAAGAAGAAAAACAAGAAATTATAATCAAAAGTGGACACAGTGAGACCAGTACTACAAATATAGAAGATTATATTGATGATAATTATGAACCTGAAAGCTACATTGGACCTGAGATCGAACAGAAAATAAAAGAAGAAAACGAAGAAGATTCTAATATACATACAACTAAAGTTAACCACACTGAAGGAATAAGAAATACAAACGTCGATACTAGTCCAATACGTGCAGCAGATAAGCAAGAATATGATGAAGTATATGAAGAAAAGTTTGAAACTACTACTGCTGCACTTTCTGAAGAATATTATGATTCAGATGTAACGTTGGATGTGACCCTACCTCCTACAACTCTGAATCCAATTCCAAAGCCAACGACGTTAACAACTACTACTACAACATCAGCTACAACTACGACAACTCCACTGGCAATCACTTATATTGATACATTTATAACTTCATCGACTTCATCAGTTCCAAATACATCAAGTACTGCAAGAAGTAAAACTACTACTAAATTTGTTAAACCTACAGCTTTTCGGAAAAATTATATTTATAATCCTACAATAACAACGCCAAATCCGGTAGTTATAAGACGTGGCCAACCGTTAGGTGGTCCAAAACCAACTAAATCACCTCCAACTTACAATGAGCTAGCTCCTAAGCCAGTGATTCGAAGGCTTCCTTTGTTATCGAGAACTACCACGACAACATCAGAATCATCGATATTAGATGAAAATAGCAAAATAGAAGAGGACGTGTATCGCAGTAATGATGAAATTAGTTCAATTTCTAGCACAGAATCAAAACGCAACCCAATAGTTAATCCTGTAAGCATTGATCTAACTACTGTACCAACTGTAGCAACAAAAATAGGCAATAAAGCAACAACTAAAGATACAAAGATTGATTTAGTAACAGAAAATATTAATAATCAGATTCCATTAGAAGAGACAACTACGTTGGCTGCGATAGTAGAAAACGAAAAAATTTTCGATAATGAAGTACGAAAACAGAGTTCGGATTCTTACGATGCATATTATGTGCCAAAAAAATTAGAAGATTCAGTTGTTGACACAACAAAAGCAGATATTGAATTGTCAACCTTAAGTCCTGATTCTTTGGTAGATGAAACAACGAAAAGTAAGGATGATTCCAGTCATAAAGTTTTCAAAGCTCAAAAGACGACCGTGAGAACGTCGCAGTCATCACCAACGATTAGGCCATCACAACGACGAAAACTGGAGCTAACAACCGTTAGAACTCAAAATCAGAAAACAAGTCAAAGCCCAAAACAAGTTCCAGGCTTCAATTGTCTAGAAAAAGAAATGTATAGTTTTTATGGCGATGTGCGAGACTGCCGCTTATTCCATTATTGTTCACGAGGGTTTACAGCAAGGCAGGTTCTAGATTTTCGATTTGTATGTGAAGAAGGCACGATATTTGACGAAGAAAGTCAGAGTTGTCGACATGATGTGCAGAACCCTAAGTGTATAAAAAGAACTTGGTGAACACGTTATGGCTCTCTTTTTGATAGAATAATCTGTCTAATAATATCGCAATTTAAAATTAGTTTAATGTCATGAAAATTAAACTCTTACATTTTTTGTAATATATCGTTGTTCTTAATACTGGTCCTAATGCTGAATTTTCCTAAACTTACTTTTTCTGGTAATAATTATGAGAAATAAAAAATGGTTTAGTGATCAAATATTTTTAGTGATTGAATTTGTTAAAAAAAATTAGTTTTATTTGTTATTACTGATTTTATTTGATTGTGATCAGTACTGTTTTCAAAAATTTTATGAATACCTCCATAATCGCTTCATATTCAGGATTTCAACATTTGTCACTTGTAAGCGTTGTAGTGAAAAGTTATTTTCTCATGATGTTTAATTTGGTAAATTCATAGTAGCTAAGAAGCAGAGTTGTATTTAATTGCACATTTTTCATTATAAATATTCATTTAAATTCCATTGATTTTAGTAATTTGTGAATCCTAAATTTTTCTTAGAGAATTTTTCAAGTTGTAAAATGAAACAACTTTTAATTATAAGTATTGCCATACACCTACTTTAGTATTTCATAAAGGATTCACTCTTATTAGAATTAATGGGAATCCTCGCTCTAAGAAGCATAATAGAGGAAATCTTTAATTAGTCGTGGTATACTAATATAATTAAGTAATTTAATGATAGATAGTGGTAATAGTTATGTTTGTATTTTTGTACTATTTATAAATTTAATGTGTAAACTATGGAATACTCTCTAATATATAATATTCGAATGTTTTTCAATTTTTTTAGTGTAAGACTGGATGACACCTTGTTATATCTACATTGAACAGCAAATAGCTGTAAATGATTCTGATGAAGGAGGTTCCTTATTCTTGCCCTGAGTAATAGGCGTCATCTTATGTGAGTTGCGTGGGCTAGTAGTTTTGTAATTTTTTTTTGTTAAGAATCACGAAACTAAAAAAAATGTTTCAAATACACTCTTTTCATGCGTTAACAAACAAATAAGTTTATTAAAACTATACTTCATTCTCATGAATCTAGTTGATAGTTTTTATAATCATCTTTCTCTTTTCAGCAATGACCAATTTAATGTACAATTCTGATCGGAGAACAAATAATTACAATGATATGACTATTTGTTTTAACATACGGTTAGGTTATTGTAATATAACCGTGTTATGTTGAAAATGAAAATGTAATAGATAAAGTTAAAATTTCAATTTGAGCTTCTATATTTACTTGTACTGAAACATAGTTAAAATAACTGTTTGTAAGCATAATTGAACACTAAAATAATGTATAAGATATTTTTTATGGTTGAAAAGGGAAGAGTATTATAATGTAAAGAATAAACGTGTATATACTATTATTATCAAACTTAATGAATGAGATTACTTTAAATGAATAAGATTATTTTTAATAAAATTTTAATTACAATAACACTTTTTTATTTTAATTTTATAAAGTAATAAATCATGAATGTTTGCTGTAACACAGATTGTATTTCAATAACATTAAGGTTTCAGTTATCAAGCAGATAACAACATCCAAATGCTGTGTAGATAATGAGCACCCAATGTAAAATAAAAATTAGTGTTAGAATTCACAGCATATATTTATTAGCAATACAACATTCAAAATAATTTCTTTTTTTCCTATAGTAAGTTGTAAAATGTCAAGCATGAATTGCTTCAATCAGTTTTGACATTGTAGATAAACCTACAAAAAATCGATGATCTAAAATATTTGTTAGTTGAAAAGTGTATAAATATATTTTATAAGAATTGATAGTACGATGATGATGATTATAAAAATAATAATAATAATAATAATAATAATAATAATAATGTTTTATATTCCTATTGCAACTGATGACTATTATTTTATTACCTACTAACAATATACTTTCTATTTATCAGATACATAATTCAAAGTAAGCTATCGTTAAGAAAAAATTAGAAAAACAATTTTTCATCCACCATAACTTATACATCAAGATCTTTTTCATCCAACAAACAAAAAAATTAAGAAATCTCTTGTCTATTTGACGGCACAAAGCTTTCTTATTTATATTTTTAATATTTTTTTTTTTTTTTTAATAAACATCTACATAAGTAAAATCGAAATCAAATTTCGTCTGTTATAATACTGCGTAATGAAATTACCTACTATCTACTAAAAAAATAATTACTAGCCCTATCAAAAATTCCTCATTTGACATTATAAACAGTACGTGAACACATAGGACTTCAACATAAAATATAATATTTCCAACACAGAAAAAAAATTATTGTTTCTAAAGAATGGCTTTCTTAAAATTGATGGAATTAAACTAAAAATAAAGTAAATCAAAATTTGTTATTATATCTATGTCTACAAAATGAAACTAAAGTTCCTAAAAATTTTCTAATGAAATCCCAAAGTATGACTGATGGTTTACATTCGCGTATGCACATCTACGTACATCCATGTACTTGATTTTCTTTTAATGGATCCAAATACATTTTTGTACACAAAATTTTGTAATCTGTATAAGTTTCCATCATAAGTAGAACATACTAAAAAAGAAAATGTAATTTTGCAAAATCGATAGAATGGAAAAAAATTTATGAATAAAAATGTTAATCTTCAGTGGTAATAGATATATGAAAAAAAAAAAAAAAATCTTAATATATTAATATCTGTGAATTAAATCCCAAAATATGATGAGTTGTACCTACATTTACTAACGCTGACGAAAATTTTTTCTAACTTTTACTTAAATATATTTTCGATAGAAAATTTTATGACCTTTCAGATTTTCTATCATATAATATTCCAGAACATCGATAAAAAAATAAAAACTAATTTTTTTTCATTTTTAAGTATGTGAGTCCATATTTTATAGATTCAATAACATCTTAGGAAGTTTTGTACAGTCTGCGCGTACATCTTTTACATTATATCAGAAACTTAAATAATCTCTAAAACTCAAACCAAGTAGACAAATAGCTCTGCGGATCTGGATCCTTTAAACTTGACAGACTAATGTGCATCTTCAACTTGGTGATACTGTCTTTCATCCGTTCTGACAAGTTTTACCGTACTGTGTTAACTGCTATTCGAAAACTTTTCAACGAAGTTTAATATATAACATGCGATCATAAACATATATTTGATGTGCTCTTGGGTTAATATGGACAACTTATAAAACTCTGTATAATATGTTAAAGTGTAGTAGCAAAATAAAAATTAGAGATGACTTCACTTAAGATGCCTCACAAATCATGAAACACTTATCTGAAAGAGCAACTATTTTTGGACATTTGAATTATACCCCATGACTTTGATATGATAAACCAATTCCGAAGCTACGTACTAATGAAGCAAACAAAATAACTTCATTAAATACAGATTCTTTACTTTAAAAAGTTAACACTCACATACCTATATTATCAATGAAAAATACAGTATAAAATATCACACTGACAAAGTATAAGATTTAATTTTAGAAATTTTTTATTTTAAGGTAAAGAACAATAGAAATCCCTTAACTTTACAGTACTCATTATACTTGGCGAATACATGTTCATCTTTTTTTTATTGAATAATTGAAAACTCCTACGCAATAACCAGACAATTTTATAGACAATAGACCAGACAATTTTTATTCTTGATACTTGGCTCAATTATGGAAGAAATAATTTATTGTCAATATTCCATCAATTTCTTGTCATAAAAAATATGAATTTGTAAAGATTTAATATCAGACTTTCTTATGTATTGTTACGTATGATAGCATATAGCTAAGCGTTCGTGAGCACCTCCCAGTTTAAGCCTTAAATAGGAAAAGAGCAGGGAATACAAAGAGATAGAAGCTTAAAGTTAAGGGCAGTTGGTCGGTAGCAGGTAAGTCGATAGGTAGCCAGTAAAAGAGTCGGTGGGTACACAGCAAGGGCGTCGGTCGGGAATACAGTCTTCCCTCGCCAATATAAGTAATGAAGGATTGTTGAATATAAAACATTCTTGTTATCTTGCGTACACCAAAAGCCATCCTTTGTCCATGAAACAGTACTGTTTGCAAAAGTTTTTTTTTTAAAAAGATCGCAATAATTGCTTTTTAACTTCTACTTGTTTCATAGTTTTTATTTGCTTTCATAGTATTTAGTTTGCAAGAGATGAAATTTAATTGATTCATATGGCAGTATGAACACAACAATGATAAAAATATAACAATTTATAGTTATTTCTATTCCAAACTATTTGCAATAATTCGTTTTGTATTTTGAATTGTTCTTAGATCATCAACACATATAAAATTATTATTTTTATATCGTCTTCTAGGATTAAAAAATGTCTGCTTAGCATTCTTATTCTCGCGAAATTCTTGATTTCTACAATATTATTAATATCTCAAATATTTACAATATCTCCATATGCGTCTGCAGAACTCTTTCCTTGGCCCGCATGGTGAAATTCCATACAGCAAAAATTTTATTAAATTTTTTAAATTGCATTTGTTAATTTATTTCTCTACTTCTTCAATTCTATGGATCTAATAAGTTTGACCTCTTGTTTGTTAAACTTCAAACTAGAGTATGCATATTAATATCCATCTTGAATACATTACTAAACATTTACAAACAATATAATACAACAGAAATTGGTAGTGCAGAAATTAGAAACTTGCTTGAAAACTTCGATAAGAACAAAAAAACTACATTTTTATGTTCATGGTGCTATAGGAATCAGAAAGCGAAAATTTCATTAACAATTTATATTATTCTACGATGTTGAGTATGATAGCGTATGGCTATGCATCCGTGTGCCCCTCCTAGTTTGGGCCGTAAAGAATAGAAGAGCAGGGTAGATAAAAAGATAGGAGCTGAGAGTTGAGATGAGTCGTACAATAATACAATCTTTTCTCAACGTTGTAGGTACAACGGTATTAGTTCTCTCGGGTATGTATACATATATTTAGGTACATGATATTTAATATTTCTTAATATCACTATTCTACTGTAAAGTATGGAAACAATCTTCAACACAGCTGTTAAAACGTTTTACCTACTTTACCTCGTAATTTTAACATACAATGATGGCATCAAACAGTTCTAAAACTTTAACTTCACTGGAATTACTCATATCTATTTTGTTTAGCTTAAAGTAATTTTTTTTTTTTTTTTTTTAATAAACATACTTGGTTTTAATATTCAAGTCGTTAAACGGTCAAATATTTTTAATATTAGTTACAGTGATATCATGAAGCACATTTTTGTAAGCTGCACTTGCAATTTTAAGCTTGGTGTTTACTTAGTTACAACGGGTTAGCCAAATCATTATATCATCTGATAATGATGTATTCACGATTTCTCTTTTTTTATCCCTGTCTCTCCCTATTAGAATTTTCATACTCGTGATATAGTCTTAAAAAGTGTATTTTGCTATTATCTTGTAAAAGTTTTCCAATACTTTCGACCAGCATTGTAAAAGACGGTCTCGATGTTGGCTCTTCCTCCCAACAACCGAGCATAATATTGTAACTAAAAAAAAAAAAAAGCAATAAAGAATTACAGTTTTATAGAAATGGCCTTTTTACGTAAACTTTCATTTACATGTCTCTCGTGGCGTAAATGGGCTGCCCCAATCTATAGCCCCGGATTAGTTTCCTATACATCTTCTCGAACCCTATACGTGAGTAAGGTATTTTTGCAAGGGTGAAAAGTTCCCATAGAACTACACCAAATGACCACACATCTGACATAGTGGAAAAGACTCCATCCCTAATGGACTCAATGGCCATCCACTTTACAGGTAACTTTCTAGCGCATTGCCTCTTATAGTTCTCGTCTTTGTACAATGTCTTTGCCAAACCAAAATCGCATATCTTAATAATGTTATTTTCTGCCAACAATATATTTCTCGCGGCTAAGTCACAATGTAGCACCTGCAAATGAAATGAGTGCCATATGTCTTACGTCAATATATATTTGGAAATAGGTAACCATTAAAAATAATATATACATAGGTGCTTGCCTTTCTTTGGGAGAGGTACTTCATACCATTTGCTATTTGATAAGCCCATAAAAAAAGATCCTCAGTGCAGAGAAACGAAACATCTTCATCTGTGTAGTCCCCTTTGTAATTAGAACGCCAGTCTGGCTGAATATCATCGTTGTCAAAATCATCACTTAATTCAGTTGAGCCACTTACGTTCTCAGCTACAGTGTAGTAAATATTGAACTTATTGCTTGAACTGCTATCGTACAAGGTCGTACTAATATCATCAGAAATCTCGTGTCTTGTCCTGTTGGCCATATAATTAAAATTGTTTATGCGGTTTACGAGTCATAAGGGTCAAAATGTTTTCAAAAAAAAGTAATTTTTTGATAGACGTTTTAATTTATGAATGCTTACACCAAACTTAATTGAGACCAAAAGTCTTAGACACATATTCCGTTGAAGACTGTATTTGTATATGAACCGTATTTAAGTATATTTCCGTACACGAATTTAACTATTAACAGTGAAGACTTTTCATGCAGAATTTAAAGACATAAATTGTAAAAGTTAACATTATGGATAGAATCTTTATTTAATTTCTTTACTCTACCCTACTCTACGTGAGAATAATTATCCATGCATAGGATTACTTTCTATGGCTGTCAACAACAAGTTATTAGGTATACTTGCAATTTTTAAACTTTAAAACAGAAATAAGCATTGATACTACTTGTACTGTCAAGTCCTAAGTCTATGACAAGTACCGTTGCTAGAGAAATCGAAAAAAAGGTGAAGCAGTAAAATTATTACCTTCTTAATTTATTTCCAACAGAAGGGTCAATTTTATCTGTACTTGAATTAATTTGATTTATAAAACTTTTCCTATGACACAAAACATAGCTTCGAAGGTTCCCAAATCGGCAAAGCTCAACAATTACCAGAAGTTCACCTAAAATATTAATTTTTTGTTAGACACTTACTAAGATAAAATAGCAGTTAACAGCCTTATGAGAATTTTTACGTTTGGCTATATTTTGAGTGCAAGCGCCCAGAAGACTTATGATATTCAAGTGCTGTCCTAAATAAATCATAATTTTGAGCTCCTTCGCTAGTGCACTAATATACATCGGATCTGCATTTTTGCGAACCGTTTTTACAGCTACAGTTGTAGTAGATTTTTTAGTAAGTATTCCATAAGCTACGGCTTTATACACGACTCCATATGCTCCACTTCCTATTTGTTCGTCTTTAGGTAGAAAAGAAACATGTTAAACATGGATATTGATTAAGTTAATAGTAACGTTTCTTTGTAAAAATTTTTCATGATCTCTTACCTAGTTTTATGTTTTCTTTAGGAAATTCGAATCTTTCGTCATACGGAAGAAGTTCCGATTGATCGTCTACTGATAGTTTTGGATTTATTAAATTAGGTGCTCCTTCCTTAAACTGGATAATACCAGATTCTGATTGTCTTTCCTCTTTGAACTTGAAAAATTTATTTAGTTGTCAACGTAATTTGTCTTCATTATGGAATTTTTTAAAATATAATTATGTTGTAACAACCATAACCTCTTTTTATTTACATTTTTATGTTTTACTTTTAAATAAAAGTAAACTAGAAGACACGTTAGGGTTGTGATTACCCACACAACCATTCCGATCCAATAATCTGGATTTCGACCTGAAAAAAAAATTAAATACTTCAATGTAAATACTTTTTTCTTCTTCCAGCATGTTATTTCCTTTAGCTTTGCTCACACGTAGTCTGAGTAAAGATTCTAATAACATGTAGTTCGGAAAATAAAAAACTAGCTGTACAATCTTTTTTTACAGAATTTGAAGTGAAAGCCTTGAAATCTTTCTGCTTTCAATAAAATTATTAGTTTAATGGTTTCCATCAGTAATATTATAAAATAACTTTGAACTGCAAGGAAAATAAAGCTGATACAAAGTGATGCTGACATGTTTTAGGTATATTTAATATAGAAGTACCAAATAGTTTTCGTTTTCGTTGATTTTTTAATAAATTTTCTGTCGATGACTTAAATTCGTTGATGATGTTTTTTGAACTTTGCAAATTTTTTTTTTTAATAGAATGCATTTACATAATACTATTATTTCCATAGAAATACAACTGATCCTCGTTCTTATTTGAAAGACTGACTTGAACAGTCTATTTTTGACACAGGAGAATAATATATCAAGCAAGTGAATTATTTTTTTTCAGTATTATTTCATGTAGCTTATAGTATCACTATAAAATTGTTTTATATGTATGCTGAATAACATACATATCTCTTTTCTATTAATTTTTTTCACACCAGCTTGGATTTAGAAGACAATTGGAGCACTCCTGTCCGAAAATAGAATTTCAAATCTTCCCTTGGATTTGACGTTGGTGTAAGTTTGCATCTGGCACACATTAACGCCGTTAATATAAGTTGATATCGTACTAAAAAACTATTGTGTTATTGTAAGATACTCACATCATTGTATAATAGCGAACGGCACACGGGTCTAATATACGAGATTTTAAAATACTTAGTAAGTAGAGTAAGAGAAAAAAAATTATGAATTGAGTTTCCAATAAATATCGTTAAGAAATAATAACCAGTGGACAGTGGGTGCATGGGTACCCAAGTAATATTCATTTTTGTTAATGTTTGACAATTAAGAAATTTTTAGTAATAATTTTATTGTTTAAAACATTAAATTGAATGACTTAGTTTTTATAACCAAATCAAACGTATTATAGACTGTACTTTATCTGTGTGGTGTGAGGTGATAGCACGCCTTTTACTTTATTTCCAAAAAATAAAAATAAATTAAAGTAATTACACGTGTTAAAATTTGTTACCTTTTACAATGATAATTTGGGACTTTGCCACTATTCCAAAATTATTTTCAGCAAGACACGAATAGTTGCCACCATCTTTCTCAAAAAGATATCTTACAATTAATTTTTGATTACTGTCCTCAAAACCAAACTGTGATGACAATTTTAAAGGTACGTCGTTCTTGAACCATGTGATGTTAGGGGTTGGAATCCCGCCTACGTGGCATAATAAAATCAGGGGATGCTCAAAATCTCTTGCTAGCACAGTTTTTGCTGTATCATTATTATTAAAATAGATGAAGTAAGGTGGAACTATACAAAAAAAGTTATCATAGATGAAGTAGAAATCGTTAAAATGTATCAAACGATCTGCAATATCACAGTTTCTAGAAGCAGTCACATTATTACCATTGATTTCAAGGAAGTATAACTTTGAATGTGTTTTTTTCTGATTATATCCATAGTATCTTTCTGTCGCTTTGCAATAATAATTCCGTCTATCTGATTCACTAACATTATTGATTGAAAGAATGATTTGGTAGGTAAATGTAGTTGTTACCGACGTAATGTGTATTCTTTCTAAATGTGTCAGAAAACATGTAAATTGGTCAAAATATACTAGAAAATTATAACTATAACACTTAAAAAATTAATCTAGAACTAACCAGAATTTACAACCACCTGTTCATTATCATCATACCATACGACCTTGGAGAATTCTCGGGTTACAGCAGCACATATTAAAGAAATATTATCACCTTTCTTAAAACTTCTTTTTGGTTGTATTATTCCAAGAGATGCGTTAGGTACCCCATCTAAAGAAGAAAAACAAAAAAATTATACGATGCAACAACAAATGCAAATTATGAAAAAAAAAACAATTGTATAAGACACAAGGGACCAAAGTATGGTATTCTCCTTCACGCGTATAATGACCTCCCAAGCCAAAGGCGAGTGAGACAAACACCTGAAAGTCAATGCCACATACTTTTGTCCCGTTTGGTGTATACAATGTTTCATCTGCCTTCGTCGAATGTTGACGTTTTTTTCATTACTCCAGGGTCAAGAGTGCAACATAACCTAGCAGGTAAAACTCGTATTCTTTACTTATTGGAAAAGTATTTTGGCCACAACCTACGCTTGTCTACGGCTCGGGAAACAGTTTCCACGCAAATTACGCTAAAATACTTTTCTAGAAAGCAGAGATATAACGAGTTTTTACCTAAGACGAATAGAAAAGTCGTCTTTCGTCGGGGTATGATAAAAATAGTAGCTTTCCTATGAGTTTCAAAAGTCTCTGTTTTCGAGCTGAGAGGTTTGCGGCCTGAGCCGAAGGCGAGGGACGTAACGAGGTTCGTAAAGGAGACTTTTCGAACGAGTTCCGGAAAACTGCTTTTTCGCCCGAGGAAGTACCAGCCTCCCAAAACCACCCGAGGGCGGAAAAATATTTTCGGTTCGCAAATAGAGACTTTTCAAACTCGTAGGAAAACTACTATTTCGCAATAGTGTGCGGAAAATGGGTCTTTTTCGCACTGGTATTAGTGTGGAAAATCGATTTTCCCACATAGTGTGCGACAAAGGTGTGCGGAAAAGGTGTGTGGCGAAGGTTTTTGTCGCACAGTGTGTGGAAAAAGTGTGTGGCAAAGGATTTTGCCACACAGTGTGCAGAAAAGGTTTTGCCACACACCGGAAAAAATTTTGCTACACACTGGAAATCAAAATTCATACCTATTTTGTAACTATTTTCCTCACACATTGCGAAAAAACTTGTACGCAATTCGTGCGGGACGATTTCCCGCACTCGTGTGATAGACTCGTACCTTGCGATCACACTCGTGCTACGCACTCGTGTGCTCAACTGGTACTCGTTCCCGTCAACTCCGGCCACTCGTGTGAGTCAATCACTACTCGTGCGGGAAATCGTCTTTTCCGCACTTGTTATAAACAACTATTAAAAATCAAAGTTAAATACTATTATTTATATGTGTATACCCGTAATGTAAATTTTCTTTGCTACGGAAGTGCATCCATAACTGTTGCAAGCTGTGCATCTTAATAAAATAGATCTTACTGGCCGTTCCAGTTCTACCGTTGACACTTGTGTAAAACTGTTATTTTGTGCATCCATGTCTATTCCCTAGAATAATTAGGAAATTTGTATTGAGTAACATTTCTTGTTGCATTCATATTTTCAAAGATTTTTAACATTCAGATTAACTAGTTATTTTTTAGTGAGACCAACAAACCTGTAATTTATATATTTTCTCTATACTTCTTAATGGGTATTTTGGATAGTTAGTGTAGGTCCAAGATATATTCGACTTAGGATTACGATTAACCAGACAAACAAACGTAGCAGTTTCATTAAAGCTGTAGTAAGATTTAAGGTAGCTTTTGTCAAATTCGACCGTCGGCTTACCTGCAGAATAAAAGTTATTACTTTGCATAAGGTAAAATACTGCAACATTTATCAGAATGTATTTCAAACTGCATAATAATCAAAAAAGCAAAAAAAACCAATTACAATTTCTTAGTATTTCCAACCACAAATAAGCTTAAGTTTTATTGTTTAAAGCGTCACTAAAATTAATTTATTTCTGGTTTAAATATAATGTGTAAACATTCTAGTTACAATCAGCCATTTACATGAAAAAGCTAGAAATATTACATGGCACATTTTTATTTAATAGAGTTACATACAAATAAAGGATACAAGAATATAACCATTGTATCTGAATTAGTAGATCTACAGTACTAGTTGTAAGTTTAAAGAAAATTTATGGAGCAACAAATAAAAATGTGATACTAACAACAATTTTGTGACGGCCTTCCATAACAGCCCGTGTATGAATGTATAATGAGAAAATTTTGCCATTTACTTTTTTGAGAATTGTAAAAGGCCTCCTTGACTTTCAGTAAGTACATGGTTTTGCATGTAAAATTAACCCTATCTTTAAGGTGAGTCTTAAAAAAATTTTTTTCAATAAAACGGAACATTTTTGTGGATTTACTCTTATACAAGTTGTATCTTCGAACTAAAGAAAAATTTTAGAAACTATTTCGTTAAAATTTAATCACGTTCAAAAATTTTAATTGTAAAAAAAAAAGAACTGACACCTTTCGTCGTGAATAAAATTTCCGTTGATTATTTACCTACATCATCATATTTTTTAAATTATTTTAACGGTTAAAGGTTGCAACAATTTTCTAAAAATCATTTTTAGTACTGCGACTAATATCTGAATGCTCTTCTATACGTAAAGAAAATAAAAAAATTACAGTTTTTCATAAAAAATAATATTAAATAGACAGTTTATAAGTAACATTTTCCCTTAATTAACAATAAATATTATCTTACATATCCCAAAATATGAAAGAAGTAATATAAGATTATCATTATTTAACTGCAAGTAGTGAGTTTAGAGTTGAAATGAAACTCTCACGACTACTTAATAAATGCAGTGTAAAGTCCCTAGCACTCGACTGTATTGAATTAAAAACACTTAAAATTTTTTAATGAAACCATTATAACACATTAATTTTCAAATCTTATAAATATTTAATGTTGTGCAGTTTCAAATATTAATGTTTCACTAATACCAGACAGTTATCACGTACCATAAACTTCAAGATGAAACTTTAACTCCTTCACCACCCCACCATACTTAGCTCTAAGCGTAAAAGTTCCCGTGTCATCTTTATTGATATTCAGTTTAGTTAGTTGGCTCATCGATTTGTTATTAAAAATTCGTATACCCCTATAGTGGGGAATAATTTCATAACCCTTAGGATGAATCCTGAAACGTGTAAAATTTCTTAATAATAGTCACAGAAAATGAATAAATAAATGTGCATCGACGTGATAGAAAGAGCTGAATACATTACCACTCCAAAGTTGGTATGGGACATGCATCAACATAAGCCAAGAAAGTCACTGATTTACCATCCTCAGAGAATGTATTGAGATTGTAAGACGTTAAATTTATATACGGTTCGTTAGTTCCTATAAAAATAATGTCGTCTGAGTGTCAAGCATTAGGTTTAAAAAAAATCGCAAATGTATCGAAGACTCACTAAATAGGCAAACGTAAACATGAAGACTCTTAGCTCTATCGAATAAAGACTTTAATTTACAAATGTAATTACCCTTATCATAGTGGGTTACATTATTTATAATAAGCTCAGACGTCATAATATCAACTAAGCCGAATTCCCCTTTGTCTTTTTCATGAACAGTATTTACAACTGTCCCAGGAGTCTAATTAACATACGTACGTTATTCAAGAAGCATTGAATCAAATGTATAAGTAATAATACATATTTTAAGAAATTGAAACAATTGAGTTGTATCAATATTAGATTTTACCACTTCACGCGGAGTCTCCCAAGAGATAGTGTAAAGCGCTTCTCTTCTAATTTCAACTGTACATGTTAGATTCAGTCTCGAACCTGTTGAGACAGCTTTTGCACCGTCTATTTTTAAAATACTCATGCATGAAGAAAATGCCGATCTATGAGCTTTTATTTTTATCACATGTGAAAAGCTATTATTTTCAACTGTACAAGTATAAACACTCTCTGTATCCCAATCTGCTTCTTTAACAACATAACCAACTTTAGGATCGAAAGTTATCTTCTCGTTAATTTTCAGTACCTAATATATTTGAAAATGTATAGGTATTTTACAATGTTTTCTGAAAAAGTGTCTAATTAAGTAAAAAATATATTACGTTTCCATTTTTTTTTAGAGTTACGACAAATTCTGGGGATGTTGTCTGGCACGGTAAAATAAGATGTTCATAACATCCAGAAGCCAGTAAATAATTACTATTTTCATTTGCATGTACAAATGGTTTTTTGTAGGCTGTATATAAAAACATATTATCTTACAATATTCTATATACAATAATCTTTTTTAACAAATATTATATTTTTTAATATAATTTAGTTAAAAAAAAAAAAGAGCTAAAGTGTGTAAAATCCTTACATTTTACATAAACGTGCATCCAACTGACACTTGGGTCGCTATAGTTTTTGTACGTCATACTTGTTATTTTCCTGCTATCATCAGCACAACCATACCAGCCAGTGTCTCCAAAAACGGTGGATAATCTTATGAATGTCTTGCGGATACTCCTGACTTCTGGTGTAATGAGGGGCTGAGAGGTGGTCTTATTATAAATCCAAAGTTTAGTAGTTAGGTATGATTTTTTAGAAATACTTTTTTTTTCTGTAACTAACTAAACATACAATAAATAAGTCAGTGATCTTACCCTACCCTTTGTATCACTAGTGGGAAAATAAAAATTAATATAGTCATCGCTTATGCATGTTATGTTCAGAGTTTCTCCTTCGTTTATCTCTAATTCGGTCACGTTTGGATAGAGTTGAGGCTTTAATCCATGGCAGCCTAAAAATTTTGAAATTAAATCCATAATTAAAAAATAAGAAATCTCGTCGAGATGTACCACTGTAAGAAAGTTAAGATTTTAAAGTAAGTCAGACAAAAATACTTGGTAGTCCAAGCATGACTTTTATGAAATGGTACACGTTTATTCAATACTTCGCCAATTCACTAATAGACTCTTCAGGATACGTACATTTGGATCTTATTGTAAATAATTTCAACATGGACTTAGAATAATTTTTAAATGAATAAATAAACTGAAACTACTTAACAAGCATAGGGTTTTTATAAATTGCCATTGCCTCAGAAAAAAAATAAGCAATTAAGTACAGTCTTACTCATTGATGTGCACAATAAACAAACAAAAACAGTCTTTCAAAAGCAAAACAAGGCATGTATGCTGTACAATGGTCACGGTCCTAAACTAATGGTCTGTTTAATGGAGGTGGCTCTCAGAAGAAGGGACCTTATAATTATGAGAGTATGTAGGTAATACCTTGAAATAGTTGTAATAAGATATCATACATGTTGTGAATAGAAAATCAGAATTGAATAACACTTTAATGTTGATTTTATTTTTGATTTGGTTAAAAAAACTTTTATACGTATTACTGAATTTTTTGTGTCTAATTATCTATTTATACTGTTGTCTAATATTATAACATAAATCATTTCAGACAATTATCGTTTAGATTGGTTATGTTCATGACCGAGAACCGAAAATTTTCACTCTGATAACGAGTTGCATGTCTAAAAAACACAATATCATTGATTTTTTAGGTATAGATAAAAAAGAATTTTTAGATGGCATTAATTTTCGGATCAGTTCCAAGTATTTTTTTAAGTTTTTATGGACGCTTTTTTTTAGTTTATGCGTACAGAATGTACCTGAAAAGCACTGTATTAGTATTATCTTAAAAATAAAATCTACACATTGTTTTGACATTCGAGACAAAACAAATAAAAATCAACATACCCCTGATGAAAATAATTTTTTTCAAAAATAAAAATTTTTAAGGTGTATATTATCGAGACTAAAATTTATGATCTTCCCAACTTTTATACATACCATACCACAGCCAATAACTTTTTGAATAAAATTATCATTGATGTGGATGAACTTTGTTTGAAGGAATACAAAAAAAAAATTACTATTTGTACACACAATCATTAGTCGGTCTATTTTATCAAGATAAGTAGTGAACCTAATGATAATTCTTTGTTAATGACTGCTGACTAGCACGATTTAATAATTGCTTTAGAACAAAAAATACGCCTAACTATAATATGTAGTAAAGTATTGCATTATTTACTGTACTACTAACTTTTAAAAAAGTTTCTTTGTTATGACACTTTGTCAGTCTTAAGCTTACTAAAATTATCCGATTGTTCAAATATCTAAAGTAGCTTCAGCACGTAGTATCGTATATAGTTGGGGCTTTGATCTGCATAGTGAACTTTCAAATTCAACTTATTTTGACTAACATTACATTTTGTACATCACCAAAAAGTTATGCTCCAATATAACCTCTACTTGAAAAAAACTTTAACCATATATGGATATATATGTATAGTTCGTATTTCATTATTAGTTGTTATAAATAAACAAACGTGCACTACAAATTGTCAAAAATTCTAAATTTATTGATGAGTTATTGTTTTAATACTTCTCGAAAATGTCTATTTAAAATGCAAGCTAAGAATATTAAAATAAATCTAAATTTCTAAATTTATGTCATAGCTGAGACTAAAATCTAAGATAAGATACCAATATAAGCACTACTTGGTGCGATTAAAATTAAAATTTTAGGTTTATTTCAAAATTATACTGGAGTGTTAGTAAGGTTTTTGTAACAAATACATGCCTGAAAGTGTAGCAAGAAAAAGAATTAGCTTCGCCGACAGAAAAAAAGGCAGCAAATCATTCCAACCTCGAACTCTTGACATTGTTCACTGCAGCTGTGTCCAACTTGTTATAGTAGTACTTTGTAAATTAAATAATTAAGGATGGAAAAATTTAAGCCTGACTTTGGCCGAATTTTAAAAAAAATATAAATTGATTCAAGTAATATATGAAAATAATTAAACTCGAATATATGTTGCTCATTTAAGTAAAGCCTTTGTATCACATTGCAGTGGTCAAATATAAAATGATATTATTTTACACTTATTCTATAGATATACTAGAAGGTGACTACGCTTTGACACCCGATATTCATAGGTTTGTGCTTATGATTTGTTGAACAGCAATTAAGATCGTTCATGCTAAACTGTGTAGAGAGAACTTGCCTTGTTGTCAGTCACCTGTCTTTGTCGTACCTCAATACAAATTTCCAGCCATCCCCCCCTCCGTTGTAAGTCCAAGCTACCCATTTTGATAACTTGGAACGTAAATAATTGTTTACTTGATAGCGGTTAAAGTTATTTTCAAGTATTGAACTTTAAATTTCAAACTATCTAACAAATAGGAATAGCTAGAAAAACTAAAGATTTTTTACGCGTGATTATCAAATTTCCACTATCATACTGACAATGTTTTGGGTAAACTTATTTTACACATATAGACAGTATTTTTAAAAAGTTTCAAGTACTCTTAGCTACATTATTTAAGGTATAATTCAAATTATTCAGTCGTTTTATAAGTCCATCCATGAAAAAATGGGTGTAAGTGTGTCTGATTGCATGTTTGAGTACAAATACAGGGTATTAATTAGATTCATACGAACTTAAACAATGCTGGGCTGATTGTTTGAATTTTTCTCTTACAAGGCATGAAAATTGCCAGAAATCTTGTATTATATCCTGTTGACGAGAAAAATAAAAGCTGTGGTTATGAAATCTACAATTTACTGGTATAATTAACATATTTTTGCTAAATTAATTTGAACAGATTGAATCAAGATGTAAAAGTAAAAAAAAAAAAAAAAAAAAAAGGTGAAATGAGCTAATACGCCACAAAAAAATGGAAAAAAGAGCTTTGGATGTACACAATTGGTGCAGTGGTATCCCTGCAAATTGCAAAAAACCATAAATTTTTCTAGATTACAAATAAATGAATGAATGCTTCGATAGAAAAATTGTAACTCGAGAACTTTAAAAAAAGTGTGAGCTGTAAGATTATAACCTCTTTCATTTTCTTTTATTAGATACACGGAAAGACCGAGATCATTGAAAATCCCCTACTACATTCAGTTACGAGTTTTTAATAGCTTGGTAAGGTTTTTTCCCGTACCAGGTCCGTCTAAAACCTACNTAGACGAAACGTGCTTTGATACGTCTCATAAAAAACATAGGAATATACAAAGAAAGGAGACAGTGGTTTCTGAATATACTTCATAATAACAACATACCTTTGATTGGAAATATGTTAAAATCTGTGACAAAGAGTCCAATTTTATAAAAAGAATTACAGCTGCAATAATTCATATCGATTTAACTAAGAATACTCTTGATAGGCAAAAATATTAAAAGATTTTGATTTCCTTAGAAAAGTTTACTTTCTTTCGTGGCGAATTTCGTAATACTATAAAAAGCGTTGAATCACCGTCCAGTATCTATTTACGGGACTTATATGTATACATTACAACCCCTGAACTGTTATATCAATTTAACTTAATATACTTTCAATAAAAAGGTAAATGCGTACTTACTTAGAAAAGTTTACTTACTAATTTGGTGAATTTTAAAAATAATATTACAACATTACGGGCGACACATCACCACCCGGTATCTTACACATAGGGCTAATATGTATACGTTACAGTTGAATTATGTTTGACCATTACATTGTTTTTTTTATTGAATGGAATAAGAATAAAAATGGTACCATGGAGATCGGGAATCAATCAAGAATAGAGAAGTCAAAAGTCATTTTTTTCAAACAAACTCAGATTTTATTGTTTTTTTTTTGAAAATATACAACTCAGAGCCAGGAGCCCCTACCTACCGTCTACTTCGATGTCTCTTTAGCAGACTCGCACAGGTATTGGTAACTCCTGGCTTTCAGGTATACATTTTTGTTCTACAAACACGTATTAGTGCATACGAATACTCTTTAGATAAGCAGCTGTGTCCACGCGCGTTAGGACGATTATTGGTTTTTATATTCAAACTTTATAGCCTCCGGTGATGATTCCCTTTCACCTGGCGGCGTGGTTTTCCCTATGAAAGATCCACTCGGTATACAAACCCCATCAACAGCCACTTAGGCTTGGGGTATCATGAGTTCAAAGTGGCGTGACAGCAAGCGAGGTCAATTACCTCTCGCCCTGATAACCGGAAACTATCACCGTGCCCCTTTTACCGATAATGCGCGTATGATCAGCTACTTATTTACATTTTTATTATATTCGCTAGCTTGCCCTTTTATTTTATGTTGACGCATCATGTTGGGATCTCGCATACAGGAATCAAGCACCTGTCGATCGTCCCTTTTCAATCTTCGCGCTCACACATTATTCAACATCCCCTCGTCGGGCTCATTTCCCCTACTGTTTGGGTCGACTGATCGCGAGACTTTCGTTCCATTCTCAACAACTGTAATGCTAATATTTACTATTTTTTTTGATGAGGGGAACAGGACCAATTCATAAATTTTTAGCGAATCTTATGTTGTCTCTATAAATGTCTCATCTTTTATCATACGATACGAGTTCTGCTTGACTGTCTAATGTATAAGCTTTGGGTTCATGAAATCGACTGCTCCTTCTTCGGAATTAGTAAAACCAGTTTCTTCTAGCAGTTGTTTTTCTTTGAACTTAAATTTTTTATTGATTGGATGATAAACATTTTTGTCAACGGAGGGTTTCTAAATTTATGTCATAGCTGAGACTAAAATCTAAGATAAGATACCAATATAAGCACTACTTGGTGCGATTAAAATTAAAATTTTAGGTTTATTTCAAAATTATACTGGAGTGTTAGTAAGGTTTTTGTAACAAATACATGCCTGAAAGTGTAGCAAGAAAAAGAATTAGCTTCGCCGACAGAAAAAAAGGCAGCAA